CGCCCGTCGTCCTCTTCGCAACTACCTTGTCAAGCAGGGTGTTACTTCTACCACCCAGCTTTGAGGGGGGGAAGTGTGAGAGTACGACCCCGTTACACTAATTTCCCCTTTCCATATTTTCTATCTATTTCATTCCTCTTTCACTCTTGATTCATTTGGTCTTTATCTCATCTCATTTGGTTTCCTATTCCTCCTTTTCCATTATCCTTTGGTTTATCCTGTTATTATAATTATATCACCGACCAGGCTCGGGATGTACTGGCGCGCTATATCTAGCGTAATCCTGTCGTAATCCCTTAAAGCCAATAGCCTCGCGTGGCTATACGCATGGTGATTCTATTTCTAGAAGGGTCTATTCCCTTTGGATAGGATAAGCCTGGTTACCTGATGTAATCTGGAAGTATAAAAGCCCCTTGTACTGATTGATAGTGCAACATTGAGCAAACCTTTCCTCGGGACATTCGATCCTGTGACACTTTCCAACCCATACAACCTCAAACCCACTACAACATCCTTGATGTTGCCGATGTGGCACTTGGGAGTGTTGGGGTTTGGTCTAGGGCGAGGGTTGGTGGTGTTTGACAATCACATACTGGAACTTTTCCAGATCTAATTGCTTCCCCACTCGTTTTGACTAGGTCATTCATGGCTTCCTAGCCAAATTACCAGCAGATCCCCTAACACAGATTTCATCATAATCGGTGGCTCAAATATTGGTTATGAACGTGCTTTACCATTCTGGAAATCAGAGATTAAGAACTTTCCAACGCGTACAAGCTCATTTCTAGAAGTTACCTGAGCTGCACGCAATGTTCCGTTGAGGTCGTCAGACTTAATCTCTAATTAATTCTCTCCAGATTTGCACGATTTCCATCATTGGTATGAGAGCCACGGTTAGAGGACGTTCTTTCCTCCATTGGAAGAGATCTAGAGAGGCTTGAAGTGCTCCAGATCTAGGGTTTGACATGGCCCAAAAGTTGGATGGCCCTCCTAGGTTTACCGGCTCGGACTTTTCGCTATGGAGGTTCCAGTTCACACTATGGCTAGGTATTAAGGACCTAGAAAGTGTGTTGGATGGATCGGAGAAGCGACCACGAGCTGACTCTGGGGAGGCGTCTACTGGAGCAACCAGCCAAGTGGGATCCGGGGCTGGGGGAGCGTCGTTGATTGGGGGGAATGAAGGAGGAACCGCTGCAACTCGAACCGGAAGGTCGCAACCAAGTAGCGAGGAGTTGCTCAAAGCTCAAGAAGCATGGGATCGGAAGGATCGCCAGGCATTTCAGTACCTATGTTGGGCTTTGGTGGGGCAACTGGAGCTTCTTAAGATGCTGATTGACCTGAAGGGAAAGGAAGGTGCAGCGGCTGCAGCTTGGAAAAGAGTACAAGATAGGCACTTGCAGAAAGGGCGTCTAAGTGTGCTTACTTGGCGGAAGCGGTTTTACACCATGGAGCGGAACTATGGAGAGGGGGAGACCATGGTTCAGTATCTCCAGAGGGTGGATGAGAATGTGAGGGCTTTGGAGGAGCTGGATTACATGGTAGATGAGAAGGAGATCATCTATACTACGCTCCAAGGGTTGGATCAAGCGGCTAATGAGGCATTACTACAGTACCTTCACCTCGAGCAACAGAAATGGACCAAGGTGTGGATTTGGGGGGTTCTAATTTCTGATGAGGCTTGCAAGGTTGATGCTGGAAGAGGCCTAAAAGGAGGCATGGGTGCAGCAGATAAAGCTTCCTTCAGGAAAGGCTATCAACAGCAAGGAGGTGGGGGGAAGAAGAAAGAGTTGGACAAATGCCTTGTGCCCGGATGCAACAAAAAACTCTTAAAAGAGTTGCTAGAGTAGGCCTGAGGGATGGGAGCCTCACGGCTACTCTGGAGAGGCCCCACCAGTGACCAAACCTGATTGGGTGGAGAAAAGGATGAAGAAGGGGCTCTCGAACAAGAAGGGAGCAACGGCCGCAACTGCTAAGGATGAGAAGGGCCAAGACGACTCCTCCGATGATGGTTTCTCGTTTCTCATGCTAGGACAGGATGCAGCTCTTGCTGGCCGTTCACTGGCTGATCCCAACTTCCTGGTTCTAGATTCCGGAGCAACATCTGGGATGCTTCCTCGCCGTGATCTCTTCACCTCCTACCATCCTCTCCCACCAAACTCAAGGAGCGTGATTGTTGGGAGCGGAGATTTGCTGCAGGCAATTGGCATCGGCACGATCACCATTAAGGGGAAGGAGGGGGAGCTAGTGGGTGTGAAGGGGGTCCTTCACGTCCCTGGTTTGGCTGCAAACCTCCTTTCATGCTCACAGCTGGCTAAACAGAGATACATCTGCACTTTCACTGAGGGAGGGTGCACTGTTAGAAAGGGTGAAACTGTGGTGATGGAGGCAAAGCTGGACACGGGTTTATACCTTGTTCCAGCTTGTGTGCCTAATTGTTACAAGGCACATATGGTTTTTTCTGAGGAAGCCGCTTGTAGCACTCGCTGAAGGCAGGTGGAAACAGTGTCACCTGAGTTGCTACACCTTCGCATGGGGCACGCGGGGAAGCAGCAACTGCTGGAGTGTGTGAAGAAGGGGGAGCTGAAGGGGGTGGAGGTCAAGGAAGGAGCTGGGCAGCAGAGCAAATGTCCTGACTGCACGTCTGGAAAGCTGCCTAGAACCTCATTCCCTATCTCCTCTGATCATGCCTCGACTCCCCTTGAGCTGGTGCACACGGATGTGTGTGGACCGATGCAAACTCCTGACCGAGAAAAGGGCAGTAGATACTTTGTCACCTTTCTTGATGACTTTAGTCGACTTAGCTGGGTCATCTTGGTGAAGACCAAGGATGAGGTGGCAAAGGTGTTTAAGCGGTGGATACGCTATGTGGAGAGGGATTCAGGGGCCAAGGTGAAGGTTTTAAGGTCAGATCGGGGTGGAGAGTACCTTGGGAAAGAACTTCAAACCTTCTTGGAAAAAAAGGGTATTACCCACCAGCTCTCTGTACCTTACACGCCGCAGCAAAATGGGGCAGCGGAACGGCTTAACAGGACCTTGACTGATTTGGCTCGCGCCATCCTTGCCCATGCCGAGCTTGAATACACTCGGTGGGGGGCAGCAGTGCAGTATGCCAACTGGGTGAAGAACAGGATGGGCAGCAAGGGGCTTGGAGGCAAGAGCCCATACTCCTTATGGACAGGGAAGGTGCCGAATGTTTCCATGGCACGAGTGTGGGGGTGCATGGGTGCATGGCACAGTATAAGGTACCTGACCAGCAAAGGAGGAAGCTAGATCCTAAGGCACAGTGGGGGATTTTTCTTGGGGATTCTGAGAGGAGCAAGGCTTGGGTGCTGTGGAGTGTAGCTGACCAGCGTGTGTTGGAGAACTGTGATGTGGTTTTCCATGAGGGGCTGAATTTTAAGGGGTGGAAGGAGCATGGTACAAGCCAAAGTGGGACTTCCATTCAAGACCCTCATACGGCCTCTATCTTTGAGGGGGCATGGGAGGACCCTGGAGATGAAGGGGAGGAGCAGCAGGAGGAGCCAGAACCAGCTGATCCTAACCATGAGGAGTCCCGAGAGACAGATTCTACCCCTCAGCCAGCCACGCAGGCCGATGTGCGTGATGATCAGCCGGAGCAGCATGTGCCTTCAACTCCATCGAGAAGCAGTTGGCAGCAGTTGTTGAATCAGCAGCTGTCCAAGACTCCAAGGACTCCAATGGAGAGGGTGACTTGGGAGGAGAAGCTGCGAAGGCTGGAAGAAGGAGAGGCAACACCTCTGCGATGCAGTGCTCGAATTTCCCAGCCACTTGAAAGGTTTTCACCGGGGCACATTGCACGCATGCATGATCATCTTGTGTCTGATTTGGATGATTGCATGCTTGTGGACATGCATGGGCATGAGTATGCTCTTGATGTGTGTCTAATGGGTCAGGTGCATGAGCCTAGGTCAGTCCACGAGGCGCTGAACCGTCCCGAATGGGTGGAGTCCATGCATGAGGAGCTTGAGTGTCACAAGGTAAATGGATCATCTGAGCTGGTTGATCCAGCAGTGGTACCACCTGGTTTGGAGGTCCTCAGGTGTCAATGGGTTTGGAAATACAAGCATAACCCTGATGGTACCATTGAGAGGCCTAAGTCCAGATTGGTGGTGATGGGAAACATGCAGAAATTGGGAGTACAGTATGAAGAAGTGTACTCTCCAGTTGGGAAGCATGCGACCTTGAGAGGTATGCTTGGAATTTCGGCTGCTTTGGGGCTTGATATCCATCATATGGACGTTAAACGACAGCCCTGGGCCTAGCTCTGCCTCGGTCCTGTACGCTGACAACAGGGCCATGATCCTCCTGTGTCAGGAGCCTCGACTCGAGGGCAGAGCGAAGCACATCCAGCCGCGGTACTTCCTCCTGCGTGAGCTCCAGCAGCGCCGCCAGGCGCGCGTAGTACACTTGGCCTCCGATGCCAACACAGCTGATATCTTTACGAAGGCGCTTGCGCCTAAAGATCATCAGCGACACTGTGTACAGCTAGGTCTCGTTCCTGTAGTCTCTCACTTGCTAGGGCCTTGACTTTGTACTGCCCTTTATATATATATTTTACCCTGACTGGCCTTGTGGCCTCTCCCAGTGGTTGGACTAGTAGTGCCGCCCTGGTCTTGCTCTTGCCTTGTCTGTACTCCTTGTGACTGGTCTTTAGACCCGTGTCTCAGAGGCTGGACTGGTAGTGCTGCCCTGAGCTGCTTCTTCCCTTGTTAGGCACTGCCCCTATATAGTCTAGGGGGTGTGTCAAACATAACTTATGCAGTTACTGTAGACTATATATGTTTGTGCCTTAGTGAGTACAACTCACCAATCTATATTGTCTTGTATCTCACCATTCTAGTCATTATTAATTCTGATACCTATCTAGCCTATATCATGCAACATGTTTGACGTTCTGCTCACTTCATGCGTTGCAGGTAAGGTGCCCCTACTTCAAGGGGGGCTCTCTTGAACTCCCTCTTTCATTTGTAGACTCGGGCTTTAAGGGAATACTCATAATATAGATGAACTGTAAAGGAAAATGGCAGGAGACGATACAAAAACAAGGAACATGCACAAGTGCAAACTCAACCTACGGTATTTTCAGTGTGCATAAGCTGAAACCCCATACAACGCAACCTTTGCATTCCTTGGTGTATAAAAAAGGGAGTCCAGTGTGCTTTCGTAGGACCAATCCTGCTGTCTGCTGATGCTGAGAATGCTGCCTCTGTATTTCATGAGCTGGTGGTGCCACTGGATGAGAGACAGCAGATGAGCCATCCAGTGAGCTGAGGCTGTGCGCAGATGAGGACACGAGGCAGTGGTGCTGGCAGGGTAAGTGCAGGTGCGCCTGCAGCCCTAAGGCGTGCCAATGAGCACTTAGAGTGGGCTGCACCTGCACGTTCAGGAAGTAGCTGGCGGTGCACTGTGGGGTCATGGCTTGCGCAGGAGAGGCAGAGGGCCTCCCAGTCTAGTCCACGCACAGCTGCGCGTGGTGCACCACCAGGATGCATGCATGCAGTGGATGCACATGGCACCGCCCACCGACGGCAACGTGGAGTGCCTTCCACGCGACCCGTGCAGGCGGGCAGATCGTGGGGGGTGCAAGGGCAGGGCGTGCAGCGTGAGTGCGAGGGAGAGTGTGAGGCGGGCACAGGCAGTCATGGGCGGATGGAGGCGAAGGCGTCGAGGGCAGCGCGCCACACGGCGTCGCCGGGCAGCATGCCGGCGCAGTGGCCCACTGCGTCGAGCTTCATGCGCGCCAGCGCACTCACGTCCTGCTGCTGCATGGCGTGCGCCTCCGCTGCCGCCGCCTTGCCCCACGTGTCCATGATGCTCGCCATGTCGTTGCTCTGCCCACGGGGGAGGGGGGGTGGGGGGCACCACGCCACACAGCACGTAGAGGTGGCAGGCCAAGGTGGGGGGGGGGGGGGGTAAGACGGTTGGAGGATGGTGGGGGAAGCAAGGGGATGAAAGAGAGGACCGAGCGAGCACAGTCAGGCGAGGGGAGAAAAGGGAAGGGAAGGGGAGGAGCAGAGAGGGGACAATGTGACGAGGGCGGAAGAGGCTGACCTCCTTGAGCACTCTGCGCAGGCTGGGGACCAAGCGATCCGGTACGCACACACCCGCCGCCCCCCCCGCACCACCCCCTGTTGCAGCGGCAGCAGCAGTTCCAGGGGCAGGCGAGGGCGAGGGGGACGATGCAAGGGCAGTGAGATTGGAGGTGGAGAGGGGCGTGTGGTGATGGTGGTGGTGGTTCGGGAGCTTGAGCCCAGCCGACACATTGTCCACGTCCGATGCTGCAGACGATGCCGGTGACGCACCCCCCCTCACACCTGCACACACCAGTGCAGCGACAGCACAAGGCGGGGGAAGAGAGAGTGAGTGAGAGGAGAGTCCATGACTGCAGGTGGTGCAGGGGGCACTATGGAGGAGAACTGGAGAGTGGAATGTGGAGCGCAGGGGCGATGACAGCGAGGGGGGGAGAACCAGCAGTGCGCTGCACTCTGCACTGCCGTGCAGCGCGGCGAGGACAGGCATGAGTGCAGCAAGGGACGAGCGGACGACAACAAGGCCATGTACGGCCTCAGCTGCACCCAGCCCATCCAGCAAAAAGCGTGGCGGACGAGGCGAGCGGGAACTAGAGTTCCAGGGGGGCGCATGCCTTGGTGGTCGGCGGCAGGAGCAGCAGCAGCAGGTTGCTGTGCGTGCGGGTGCGAGTCGGCGAGCAGCAGCAGGTCCTGCCGCTCTCGTTTCGTGGCGGAGCGCAGCGCTGCCAGCGCCCGCGTGCGCGCGATGGCCGCACACTTGTACGCCAGCGCTGCCGGCGCATGCAGCGCCGATGCCTCGTACAGCCGCCCCGTGCACCTGGCAGAACACGGAGCAGGCAAGGGGCAATGGGAGCACGGGAAGGGGACGCGCACACGGGGAGAAATGCTGGAAATGGGGCGCTCGATGGGCACGTGAATGGCGGACGCCACGCAGAAGGGAGCTGAGGCTCTTGCTGCAGAGAGGAGGTCACACATGGAGCATGCAGCTCGAGTGGGTTTGGCTGCACGGGGAGACGACTGAAGCAGGCGCAGAGCATGCAGGGCGAGGGAGGCGTGGAAGACATACTCGAAGAGCTGCGCCGTCTCATTGAGGGTGCGCGCCGCTGCTGCCGCCTGCGAGGCGAGCGCGGGCGCGTGGTGCGAGGGGTCGCAGCCGACGGAGTCAAGGAACTTGAAGGCGGCTCTCATGTACCCATCCGCCTTCTCCACCGAGTCCGTCCTCTGCCCCACATGGCACACACACACACAACCCACGGCACACACACGCCGCACACGGGGAGGACGGGACACACAGAGAGGAGTGCATGGCCGTGAATGCGAGAGAGGAGTGCATGAGAGAGAGGGCGAGGGAGAGGGAGAGGAAGCGAGAGAACGAAAAACGCAACGAGGAAAAGGAATGAGGAAGGAGGGCGGGAGAATGATATAGTGAGCCAGCGGCATGGCCACGAGCACAGGAGCACGGAAGCACAGGACCAATGACCACCTTGTGTGTCGTGCGCCCTCTCACCTTGTCCGCCGTGTGTTTGAGGTCCACTGCCTCTTGCCTCGCCACCTTCTTGCTGCTTGTGTCCACAACACCCGCCGCCAACACCCCCCCTATGGACCGCCGCACCCCAGTACCAACTGGGCCCATCGGCCCTGCACTCGCCCCTGCCCCTGCTGCCCCGCTGGTGGCTGCATGGTGGGTGCCGGCCGGTATGGCGGGCAGCAGCCCTCGGTCTGGAGTGAGCATGTGCGTGGGGGCTGCACCCACTGCCGCCCATCCACTCGCACCAGGCGATGCTGACACTGCTGCGGCTGCTGTCCCACTGCCTGTAGCTGCAGCCCCTCCATTACTCCCAGGTGCTGATGCTGATGGTGCTGGGCCTACCCCTGCTGCTCGCGCCCCTGCTGCCGCTGCTGCACCTGCCAGTCCCGACGCAGGTGCGGGGATGGCAGCGGGGAAGGCGGAGAGGCGGTGCAGCCCGGGGGAGGCAGCAGGAAGGGGTGCAGCACGCGAGGTGGCGGGGCGCGCTGCGGGAGCAACAGCAGGCGCAGCGGCCGCAGCAGCAGGTGGTGCAAGGGCAAGAGAGCTGGACATTTTTTGTGTGGCAGTGTCCTGTGCTGCTGCTTGTGGCGCAGGAGCACCACTCGAAGCAACAGCAGCAACAGCAACAGCAGCAGCAGCAGCAGCAGCAGCAGCAGGAGGGGCAGAGAGTGCAGGTGGTGATTCCCGCAGGTTGTGAGAGGCAGGGGGCAACGGTGCTCCTTGTGCAGCTGGCGTTGGCCCCTCGCTGCTGCCTGCAGGGGGCAACACGGCACACACCAAAGGCCCGCCCTCAGCTGCTGCAGCAAGGGCACCAGGGGCATCGGCAGTGGCAAGAGGAAGAAGAGAGGAGGGCGCAGCAGCGGCAGGTCCATCGGAGGGGTCTTCCTCGCCCGCCCACGGCGCCGAAGCAGGGAACGCACCTCGAGACCCACCAAACGTCCTCTCCCTCCTCCTCTCCCTCTCCCTCTCCAACTCCCGACTCCCTCTTCCCCGGTCCCTCTCTCTCTCTCTGTCCTTATCCCTGTCCCTATCTCGATCCCTGTCCCTGTCCCTGTCTCGGTCCCTGTCCCGGTCCCTATCTCTATCCCTATCTCTATCCCACTCCCTGTCCCTATCCCTATCCCTATCCCTATCCCTATCCCTATCCCTATCCCTGTCCCTGTCCCGGTCTCTGTCTCTGTCCCTATCCCTATCCCTCGACTTCCCGAGCCCCCTATCATCCCAATCCCTATCACGCTCACCCCTGCCATCCCACTCCTTATCCCGCCTGCTTCCCCTCTCATCCCTCCTCTCGTCCTTCCCTCTCCTCTCGTACCTCCCCCCATCTGCATCTCGCTCCCTGCCCCACTCCCTCTCCTTGCCCCTCTCCTTCTCCCTATCCCGGCTGCTGTACCTGCGTCCCCACCCATCCCGCCCCTTCTCCCTATCGCCCCTCTCCTGCGACGGCGAGTACGCCCTCCCGCCCCCACCCACACTCCCTCCGCCCCCATCCCTGTCCCTACCCCCTCCCTCACCATCCCTACTAGACCTCCCTACTCTCTCCTCCCCTCTCCCCCCTCTTCCTTGTGCCGACTCCTCTCTCCCGCCCCTCCCTTCCCCTCTGCTCCCGCCTCCTTCTCTCTCCTTGCCTCTCCCCCCTGCTCCTCCTCTCCCCCCGTCCTCCCTGTACCCCCCACTCCAGCCCCTAGCGCCCTCCTTCCTCTCCTTCTCCCCCGCCTCCCCCCCTCTGCCGCGGCCGTCAGGCGACCTGCCGACGCCTCTGCCCGCCCCCGCGCTCCCCTCGCCATTCCTGGCGGCGCCGTGGCGCAGAGAGGAGGAGCGGGGGGGCCCTGAGCGCGAGGGCGAGGAGGAGAGGGTGGAGTGCGGGGGCGAGTGGTGGGGCTTGGTGGGCGTGGAGGAGGCGGAGCTCGTGTCGGAGGTGGCGCTGCTGGAGCTCGTGCTGCTCGTGCTGCTCGTCGTGCTGCTCGACGACCCGCGCCACCCCGCGCCCCGCCGCCTGCCCGCCCCCGCACGCTGCGCTGTGGCGGGCGTGGCCTCAGAGGGGAGGGGCAGAGCACACGAGGGCGCCAGCACTGCAGCGCCGGCAGGCGGGCCGCCGGGGGGCGGGGGGGGAGGTGGGGGGAGTGCGGGTGGAGCGAGGCCTATAACTGCCAGCCCTGTTGCCGCTGTGGGCGCAGGGCATGGGGCGGTTGGTGGCGCGCCTGCTGTGCTGGCAGCGCCTGGTGTGGCAGCGACGGGTGCAGTGGTGCTGACGCTACTGCCCAGTGCAGCGGAAGCGCCTGTGGAGGCATGGGCAGCAGCAGCCACAGCAGCAGCACAAGCGGCAGCTGTGGAGTCAGCTAGCAGGCCTGATGTGTTGGTGTCTCCACCTGCTGTTGCCACGAATCCTGTGCTTGGCGCTGCAGCGCCCACTGCTCCTGCGGCCAGCGCTACTGCTTGTGGTGGCGCTGCACATGCAGGTGGCAGTGCAGGCGCTGCAGGTGCTGGCGCGGGCACCGGTGCTCCAGGAGGAGAAGCCTGGCCCGCAGCACCACAGGCGGGCGCTGGGGCTGTAGGAGGTGCGCCACATGGGGGCGGCGCAGCCAGGGCAGGGGGGGAAGGTGCCACAATGATTGTGCCATGTGCACCCCCACCTGCCCATGCAGCAGGCACGCTCGCAGCTTCACCCGCCGCTGCTGCCAACCCCCCTTCTCTGGCGTCCCCCGGCCCTGCTGTCCCAGGAGGAGCGGGCTGGGCTGGCGCTGGAGCACACGCAGGGCGGGGGAAGAGTGGAGGTGGTGGAGGGAGCGACGGCGGCGCCTGGGGAAGGGCGGAGGGCCAGTGCGCATGCGTTTGGGGGCGCGAGAGCGCAGCAAGGACTCGCTCGTCGTGGCCGTCATCCACCTCCATCTCCACCTCCTGCTGCCCTTCCTCCTCCGCCTCGACCGCACCACCTGCACCCCCTGCTCCCCCTACTAACTCTGCCTCTGCACCAGCAGCAGCCACAGCAGGCGAAGGCTGCAACTGCCTGGGCTTTTCCTTCTCACTGTGCCACGCGCGCGCAGCGGGCAGGGGGGACACCACGCCCGATGTGTCTGCAGCGCCCTCTTCTGCCTTCTCACCCTTCTCCCACCCTGCTTTCCGTCCAGACGCGTTTGCAGCAGGCACTGCTGAGCCTGCCGTGACGATACTGATGGCCGCCTTGCCTTCGACTGCCGTGCCTGCTGCAGGTGACACTGCGGCGTGCCTCAGCGCCACAATGGCAGGGCTGCCTGCCTCCTGCTTCACACCCGCCCCTGCTGCCTCGCCACTGCCACCCGCACCACTGCCTGCACCCAGCTCTGACCCCTCCCAACCCGCCTTCTCCGCCCTTGCTCCTCTCTCCTCCACTGCTCCCTTCCCCTCACCACCCTTCCTCTCACTCCCCCAACCATCTCTCCGACCCAAATCTCTTCTCCCTGCCTCCGCCCCCCCTTGCCACTCGCCCCCCTCTCGCTTCCTTTCTGCTCGCCCTCGCTCCTCCCAAGGACCCTCCTGCTTCGTCTTACCCACCTCCCTACCGCCCTCCTCACTCTCTCTCCGCTCTACGCCCTTCCACTCTCGCGCCTCCCTCCCATCCCTGCCCTCCCTGCCCTCCCTGCCCTCCCTGCCCTCCCTGCCCTCCCTGGCCTCCCTGGTCTCCCTGCCGTCTCGCCCCTGCCTGCCCGGCCTGCCGTCCATCTGCCCCTCTGCACCACTACTCTGCTCCTGCGCACGCAACGGCCTTCGCCCCTCCGCTCTGCGCTCCCCCATACCCTCATGGCCCCCTGCAACCCCACCCTTCGTGCCTCTCTCATCTCCAACCTTCCCCGCACTCTCTGCATTCGCCCCTGCCCCTCCGTCCCCTACCAGCCCCTCACGAGTAACCCGCTCCCTAGCCCTACCATCGTCCCGCTCCCTTTCCCCTTCTCTATCCATCTCCCTTTCCTTCTTCTCCCTGTCCCATTCTCTTTCTTTTTCTCTCTCCCTTTCTCTCTCTCTTTCCCTTTCTCTCTCCCTCTCCTCAATATCTCGGTCCCAGTCACCCCTTCCCGCCTCAACAACACCCTCTCCCGTTCCACCACCACCACCACCACCACCACCAAGACCAGCAGCAGCAGCACTGAAGCTACGCCCGTCTTCACTGCTGTCTCGCCTCCTCCGCTTCTCCCTGCGATCCGCCTCCCCCTCTCTCCGCTCCTCCCCCCGCACCTCCCCCTCCACCTGCCTCTTCTTCTCGTCCCTTCCCAGCCCCTTCTTCCCCTGCACCCACTCATCGTCCTCCTCCCCCCTCCCCTTCCCCCTCCCCTTCTTCCACTCCCTCTCTCCGCCCTTCTCCTTTTTCCCCCCCACCTGCACCTGCCCAACGCTCCTCTTACTCCCTGACCTCCCTAGCTTGGCCGCCTTACCTCCTTTGCCCGCCACGTCCCCACCCACCGCAGCACCAGCAGCAGCAGAAGCAGCAGCAGAGGCACCACTAGGAGCAGCACCGCTAGCAGCAGCAGCCGCCGCTGCAGCTGCAGCTGCTTGCATGGCGGCGACGACAGAGGGTGGCGGCGGTGGGAGGGTGGCGCCCTGTGGCAACAGGTGCGTGGGGAAGGGCAGCCCGAGCGAGTAGTACACCGCCGCTGACGTGCGGTACTCCGGCACCCCACACTGCGCCAACTCGGGGCTGGGGGGGGCAGTGGATAACGAGAAAGCAGATCAGGAGAGTGGGAGAAGAGGAAGGGGCAAGGAAGGGCGGGGGAGAGGAGGAGGTGGAATGCAAGGGTGGAAGGGTGTGGAGGTGGAGAGTGGGTCAGAAGAACGGGGCAAGGGTGGCTAGGTAGAGAAAGGGAGGACTGGTGTGGGGCTCACAGCGGGCAGCACTCACGTCCATGTGTTCATGCGGCACTCACGTCCATGTGGTCATGCGGCACTCACGTCCATGTGGTCATGCGGCACTCACGTCCATGTGTTCATGCGGCAGTACCACTCGTCCGGCAACGACGAGGGTTCAATGGAGGGCGGCAGCAGGCGCCACTTGCCGCACTCCTCGCACCCCACCCAGTTGTCCTGCAGCTGCTCCGCCCCGCCCCCTGCTGCTGGCCCAACCGCCATCCCTGCCCCGCCCATGGCAGCAGCGGGCAGGGGGCTGGCAGCAGCAGGAGCGCGTAGCGCCGGGGCATCCCCTGAAGCCCCTCTTTCCCTCGCCGCGGACTGCTCTACTTTACTCCACTTCCCCTCCCACTGCTTTCCACGATCCTTCTTCCCTTCCCGAATGCCTTTCCCCGCCCTCTCCTTCCCCCCTCCCCCCCCTGCACTGCTTGCGCCTCGGCCCCCTGTGCCGGGCCCATGCAGTGCGCCCCCCATGGCGTCGCCCTCATGCGCGTCCGCGTCCCACTCCTCCCGCCCCCGCTTCTTCAACCCCACCGCCCCACCCACCTTGCCCGCCCTACCGCCCTCATCCCATGCCCCTTCCGCTTTCACCCGCCCCTTCCCCTCCTCGTTCCCCTCGTCCCCAACCCCCCCTCCCCCTCGGTTGCTCTCCACGGCCCCAGCGCCCTTGGGCGCTTTCTTCCCCACACGGCCCACAGCAGCGGGCGCCAGCATGCCATTGCGCAGCGCAGCCTCCTTGTGCGAGCCCTCCCCCGCCTCGCCCTCCGCCACGCCCTCTGCCAGCCACGCCGCTCGCGCCATGCCACTCCCTGCCGCCTCCTCCACCCCCCTCTCCCCCCCCTTCGCATCCTCGCCTTCCTCTGCGCCCGCCCTGCCCCGCTCACCCCCCTTGCGCTGCTCCTCCCACCCCTGCGCGCCCTCCCTCCTCGCCTCGCTCCACGCGCCCCTCCTGCCGCCCTCCTTCTCCCCTCCGCGCTTCTCACTGCCCCTCGCTGTGTCGCCTTGCCCCTCGCCATCCCTCTCCTCTCTCCCCTGCTTCCGCGGCTTCTTCTCTTTTCCACCTTCCCTCGCCTTGCCCCCATCGCCCGTCCCCTCCTCCACCTCCCGCGCCATGTGTATCTCCCTCTCCGCCTCGCCATTCGCCTCCGCCCCACCCCTCTCCTTGCCCCTCTCTCGCTCCCTCCCCTCCCCGCGCCATCGCTCTCTCTCCTTCTCAGTGCGCCTCTCCCCGCCCGCCTCCTCTGACCCCGACCCGCTGCCCACGCCATTGCCCCATCCGCCGTGCTCCTTGCCTTCCCGCGCCTGCCCTCCACTGTCCCCTGCGCCCTGCCCTCCCTCTTTCGCCGCCGCACCTGCAACACCTTTATCCGCTCTCTCCTCGCCTTGCTCCCCTCCCTGCATTTTCCCCAGCATCCCATCCTTGCTGCCGTCCGCCCACCCACCACCGCCCTCCCGCCCCCCTGCACCTAATCGCGCCCCCTCCGCGTCCCCCCCACCACCCTTTCCCTGTGCGACCTCCGGCCCCTTCCCCCGCTTCTTGCCCCCAGCACTCTTCAACTCAACCGCTCTCTCAGCGCCTTCCCTTGCGCCCGCAGCCCCGTCCTCGTCTAAACCCCTCTCCTTCACCCCGCTGCCTCCACCTGCTCTCCGCCCAAACCCCCCCCCAAGACCCTCCCTTCTTGCGAGTAAGCCGGGGCTGTACCCCGCGGCGTCTGGCGTGCCTAGTGTGGCTCGGGATGGAGGGCTGGCAGAACGGGAAGCAAGGCGGCTTCGGGGGGGGGGCGACACTGACCCCCTCACACCGCTGCCACTGCCGCTACCGCCACTACCCCCCCTTCCCTGCGCTTGCTGCGCCACGCTAGTGGGAGACAGCCGCCACGCCTTGTGCCTTGCCCCCTCCTCCCCCTTGCGCCCCTCGTCCCTCCCTGCGCCCACGCCCTGCGCGGACTGGCTGTGCCCCACCTCCCTCTTCCCCTTCGCTTCCGCCCCTGCCTCCGCCTCCGCGCGCCCCGGCGCATGCACGCCGTTGGTGCGCGCGGAAGGGGGCGCGGCAGAGCGGACAGGGTGCAGCGGAGGCGGCGAGAGGGGGGGTGGGAAGGTGGAGTGATGGTGGGCGGGGGGCGTGAGGAGGGAGGCAAGGGGCGAGAGCAGCTTGACGGCCACGTGCGCTGTGAGGAGCTGCCGCGCACACACACAGGGGTGCGGGTAACACGGAGGGGGGTGGGTGGGGGGGGGGGGGGGAGAGGGAAAAGCGGAGTTATGGAGAGGCGGAGGGAGAGGACAAGGAAGGAAGAGGATGGGGGGAGAGAGTGAAGTGCATGGTGCGAGTATGGGGAGATGGGTGGAGAGAGACCAGCACGCACGGGTGGGGCGGCGGGGTGTGAGGGGGCAAAAGGAGGGGCACGGCGTGCGAATCTCACCCCGTGAATGTCGTCCAGGCTCATGTCAGCCGCCATGCTCCTGGCCCGCCCTGCCGCGCCCTCCTCGCGCCCCCGCGCTCGCCGCCTCCTCTTCTCGTCGCCCCACTCGACCCCTGCGCTCCTGCTTGGGCTGCTGCACGCCCCCCCTGCCGCCCCGTTGCCCGCGCCCTCCCGGGCCACGGCGCGCCCCCCCAGCTTGATCTTCACTGACCGCACGCCTCCTTTCGACCCGCTGCCCTTCCCCTTCCCTTTCCCCCTCCCCCCCACCTTCTCCCCTTTCCTGCCGTCCTGCTCCCTACCGCCCATGCCCTCGCTCCGCCCCTCCTGCATTCCCTCCTCCTCGCCCTCCCCCGACTCCCCGCTCCCGTCTCTCCCGCCTGACCCGTCCCGCCGCTCTCCGCGGGCCCCATCCGGCCCTTCCCCGCCGTCCGTGCCGTCCGGGGGGCCGCGGTGGTGGTGGCGCGCGTGGCTGTGGTGCTCGCGCAGCCACGCGGCGGACGGCCCAGGGATGGCGGCGGGCACGCTGCTGCGCGCTACGGCGAGCACGCCCGACGGACCCATGTCCGCCTCCAGCAGCGGAATGACCTGGGGGGACGGGGGGGTTGGGAGGGGGGAGGGGGGGAGAGACAGCGTTGCGCAGGAGCAGCAGAGACATGGGGGCCGGTTCGGAGAAAAGGAGGGCAGGGCACAGGCGCGGTCGGGTAACGGTGTTGGGAGGGGATGCGGGGAGTAGGGCGACATGGCAGGTAGCGAGCGAGCAAGGGCAGAGAGGGCGCGAGAGGTGCGCGACCCCGCACCTGCATGCAGTCGCCCTCGCTGCGCCCCGACTGCCCACCATCCCCCCCCTCGTCGCCTCCGTCCGCCCGCCCGCTCGCTGCGCCATCCTTGCCGCCATCCTCGCCGCCACCTGCTGACCCCGCCCCTCCTGCCGCCCCTCCCGTTACTGCTGCCCCTGAATTACCCCCTCCCCCCCCTGCCCCGCCTCCTCCTGCCCCTGTCCCCCCGCCCGCCCCCGTTGCTGCAGGACGGGGAGCGTCTCGCGCGGAGGGTGGTGCGGGCGCGCCGGATGGTGTGACGTGCGTGGGGAGGAACGTGCCGTACTCGCCGTAGAGCGGCCCTGAGGGGAGGACGCGCACGTGCAAGGGAAAGGGGGAATTGAGCACAACGAGCAACAGCGCTTACGGCGGAATGGCGAAAGTGCATACGGAACCTGCTTTATGCATCGCCATCGACCTCCCCCCGGCGACTCGCGAGCAGAGGAGAGCACGCAGAGGCGTAGGAAGCGCAGGGGCGGGGTGTGGGAGGGGACGAGAGGGCGCGGACGGGAAGAAGTGGGAGAGAGGGCGAGGAGCAGCGGGGAGACGGGGAGCGGGTTGGGCAGGGCGCATGGGAGTGGGTGGCGGGGGGCGGACCTAGCGACACGTTGGTGACGGAGCCCTGGAAGCGGTGCTGCAGGTCGCCCAGCGCCGCCGTCAGCCGCCCCATGAAGTCGTCCTGCCACGCACGCGGGCACGCGGGGCACCGGGGGGGGGGGGGGCGCACGGGGAACACGGGCAGCGGCAGGGAAGCACGGGTGAGACAGAAACCCGCACACGCGAGCGACAAGGGGCAGTGGAATAAAGCCGCAGGCAAGGGGAGTGGGGGTACAGTTGTCCGCACTGCATCTGCTCGCGTGTGAGCATGCCGTACCGCGCGCGCACGAACGGCGGAGCACCAGCGAGTGGCGGGCGGACTGCGGCGATCAACGCGATAAGGGGATAAGGCGATAACGCGATTACGAAATTATGCGATAAGACGATAAGATGATAGGGTGGGAGAGGCAGTGAGGGGGTGAAGGGCGAGAGGGAGCGCGATTGCAGAGGTCGCCCGCGATTACCGAGAGGAGCGCGCAGTAGCGAAGGAGGCGCATCCGCGCACTCATGCATGCGCGGATCGCGCGCTCGCAATGACGGCAGCCCAAGTATTTGCGGGTGCAAGCAGGCAGGACGTCGACCGTGCGATCGCCTCACGCCGGCGAACAAAGGTTATTGCGGCGTACGGGGAACAGGACGAAGCGACGTGCGGGAATTGGTGGGCGCGGGGATCGGTACAGGCAGTGGCGCAGGCGGGCGGGCAATGGAGCGACGACCGACGCATGCGACTAGGGATACGACCGCTCCGACTGCCCGCCACATGCGCCGACGGAGAGCGAGGGAAACTGGTGAGACGACGAGAGCAGATCGGAGCGCGGGACTTCCAGAGAGACGACGCACGCGCGGCGAGAGCAACGGCGCGCGCACCTGAGACGACGGCTGCAGACGGCCGTGCGGGACGGCGCGAGTGAGCGACGACAACACAAGAGTCGGTGCGAACAACGAGTGCAAAGAGCGGCGGGGTAGCATTAGGGCGACAGAAGGTCAATCGGGGCTCACGGGCGCGAGAGGGGTAACGTCGGTGCAACTCACGGATTCAAAGACGCTGGACGACGCCGCCATGGCACGGCGATGGCACGCGACGACACGAGGTGCTCCTGCCGCACGCGAGGCGATGCTGCTACTGCGGGCCCACACGAGCGGGAGCACGCGCGCCTGAAGAATCACACGACGCAACCTGGAAACGAAGATCGCGGCCGGAGTCGGAGGACCACCCGCGTGAGCATCGCGTCCACGTCAGCAACTCGTGCCCGCCCTGGCTGAGACCCTTCACTGCATTCGCGAGCACGCGACGGGAGTATCTGCATCTTGGCGCGCTGCCCTAACCCATGCCTGTTTTGATTTAGACTCGGGAAACGCCTCATGCGGGAATCGGTGTGAGTGAGATTAGAGATGTCAATAGCGGGGAGTTGGCTGTGTGCTCAGTCGAGCGTTGCTGGAGGGTGGGAGGCAGGGTAGGGAGGAGCGAGAGACGAAACCCTAACCGCACCCGCGCAAGCTCACAACTCATTGCTCAGGGTCCCCCCGAGCTGAGGCTTGGAACATGTTGGTCAGGCGCCGCCGAGGCAAGCAGATTGGTTGGGCAGCTTCATTCATTGTCACGCCTTGGGTGAAGAGGGCTGGTGCAAGCGGGCGAATTGATGGAGGGGTCACTGGAAAGTGAATGTGAGAAGTGTTATGAAAATCTCCCGATAGGAGTCTAGTAATGCAACAGTGAGGTCGTGATTAGGGCGCGGTGCTTTGGGTTTGGAAACAGGGCTGACGTTATCAGATTATTTAGTCTGATTAGTCTGAAATTTCAGACCCTATTGTTGGCCAAACCTGGATTTCCATATTATCCATTTTCCCAATCCTGATTGTTAAATTATATTTGTTATATAATTGTAGGCTTGGTAGGTGTTACTGAACTCTACTGTAGAGGGTATAACTCCCTCTTTGTATGCCTCTCTCTTCTATTCCCTCTCTTTTCTCTCGTCCAACTTTCCTCTCCTAGTTCTCGAGCTCCTAAACCCTTACGCCATTCCATGGCTGCCTTCCTTCCTAGCTAAGCTAATCTTTTAACATGGTATCAGAGCGGGTTCCCTCTCCCGGGCCTGCTCCCCACGCTTCCGCCACGTACTCTCTCTCTCTCTCTCTCTCTCTCTCTCTCTCTCTCTCTCTCTCTCTCTCTCTCTCTCTCTCTCTCTCTCTCTCTCTCTCTCTCTCTCTCTCTCTCTCTCTCTCTCTCTCTCTCTCGCTCTCATGGCGGCCGCGTCGTGCTGCTGTGGCCGCGTCGACGTGCCACCGGGCGCGTCGTGCTGCCGCGACCGTCGTGACGCGCTGCCGTGGCGTCGCGCAGTCGTGGCGTCGATGTCAAGCTCTGGCGGCGTGACGGCGCCGTCGTGCTGCTGCGGCGTCTACGCGACAGCGCCCGGACGGCACGGACGGCAGCGGCCAGTGCCTCTTCTTAGCGCTGGCCAGCACGCCCGCATGCAGCCAGCGCGCCACACGGGGCGGCACGCTCCCGGGCTCCACTGCTGAAGCCCCGCCCCCCTTCCCCTGCGTTCCCTCTTCCTTGCTGTAGCCGACGGCTAATTTGCGCCGGCCGTCTCACCGTCGCGGAGCCCGGCCACGCCGCGAAGAGCTGCGAGCTCCGCCGCCGCCAGCAGCTGTCGTCGAAGCCGCCGCCGCCGCAGCTGGTGCCGCTGGCCACGCCGCTGGCGCCGCCGCTGTCGACGCTGCCGCCGTCGCCGCCGTTGCAGCCGCTGTCCTCGTTGTCGACGTCGCCTCGTCTCACGCGTCGTGGGGTTGATCGTGCTGAAGTAGCAGTCGCTGCTACTGAGTATGGGGGTGCTAGGTTAGGGGGTATGGGTGTGTGTGGGCTTGCCACTACCAAGCCTAGGGGGTGTATTAAATTATATTTGTTATATAATTGTAGGCTTGGTAGGTGTTACTGAACTCTACTGTAGAGGGTACAACTCCCTCCTTGTATGCCTCTCTCTCTTCTATTCCCTCTCTTTTCTCTCGTCCAACTTTCCTCTCCTAGTTCTCGAGCTCCTAAACCCTCACGCCATTCCATGGCTGCCTTCTTTCCTAGGTAAGCTCATCTTTTAACACTGATCACTTCAAAGTAAGATTTTAGGGATCCTGAAAAAAAAACAGAATTGTTGCTAACCCAGTGTTAAGTTTCCATAGCACAACACGTACAGACCCTGAAACACATGTACCTACTACCCGCATGCGACCCAGAAAATTTCGGCCAAGTCCCCAAACACTAGAGACATCCCCCACCAGGGCTTCAGAAGTCAGTACAAAATGCACTGGAATGCTGAATATCAGGGTGTTTTTTTAGGGTCGTCCTGTTTTTTCAACATTTGAATTTTCCTAGGCCTAAATTTTAGGGGTTATCATTTGAGCAGGCCTGAAATACTGTATGTTGTTGTTTTGGTCACCTGACTTATCAGTCTGAACGGATTTCCAGCCCGAAACAGAATCCTATCTGACTGGTCGAGGCGATCTGTGTCGAGCTAAGGACACTAGGAAGCCATGGAATGGCACGCGGGTTTAGCTAGGAGAAAGTTACGAGAGAAAAGAGATCGAGAATAAAAGAGAGAGGGATACAAGGAGGGGGGTTGTACCCTCTACAGCAGGTTTCAGTAACACCTACCAAGCCTACCAAATATATATCAAATATATAATTTAACAAGCTGGAGCAGCAGTGACGGGCGTCACTTATCCTTCGCCAAAATGATGCATGTAACGCATATCAAAGTTAACCAATGACTAGAACAATGGCATACAAGAGAATATAACATAGTGGGTTGTACTCTCTAAGGCACAACCCTGTGTAATCTATATCAACACACAAGGATATGTTTGACACATCCCCTAGACTGGATAGGGGCATTGCCCGGTGAGAGACAAACAGCTCAGGGTGGCACTACTAGTCCATCCGCTGAGGCAAGGGGTCTAAAGACCAGTCGAACGAGTACAAACAAGGCAAGAGCAAGACCAGGGCGGCACTACTAGTCCAGCCACTGGGAAGAGGCCACAAGGTCAGTCAGGGAAATATGTATAAAGGCATATACACAATCAAGTTCCTAGCAAATGAGAGGCTACAGGAACGAGACCTGTACACAGTGCCCTTGATGATCTTTAGGAGCAAGCGCCTTTCGTAAAGATATCAGATGTGTTGGCACCGGAGGCCAAGTGTACTACGCGGGCCTGGCGACGCTGCTGTAGCTGACAAAGGAGGAAGTATCGCAGCTGGATGTGCTTCGCTCTGCCCTCGAGCCGAGGCTCCTGACACATGAGGATCATGGCCCTCTTGTCAGCGTACAGAACTGGGGCAAAGCTAGGCCGCTCACCTAAGTCGGTAAGCAAGAAGGTCAGTCAGCAGAGCTCCTCTGCCGGCATGGCACCAGCGTAGATCTGAGCCTCACAGCTAGACTGGGCAACAAACGAGGAGCGAGTCGACCGCCACGAGATGGCACCTGCACCAACGCTAAAGTAGTAGCCCTGGGAGGATCTGAGAGTCTCAGAGTCGTCTGCCCAAGAAGCGTCTGTGTGCCCGGTAAGGACCACTGGTCTACGTCCTCCTAGCACTAGCCCCATGCCCGATGTACTTGCTAGATAACGCAAAATCCTCTTAGCTGCCGACCAATGCTGTGGTCGGTGTCTGCCAGTGGCCACAAAGCGAGCCAGGATGCTGAAAGGGTATGCGAGATCTAGACGAATGCAAGTCATCAGGTACATGAGGCAACCCACCAGCTCTGCGTAGGGACCACTAGGCTCTACCGCCTCCTTCGGGACTGGAGCAGAGAGTCTATGGTCTACTGGCAGAGGGGTGGGCTGTGCGGAAGAGAACTGAAGGCCGAACCTATGAAGGACCAGACGCACCAAGTGTGACTGTGAGAGAGTGATGGTGCACGCTGCTTGGTCCCTGGAGATCTGCAAGCCAAGGTAGTGGCGCAGCTCTCCTAGGTCAGTGCAGGTGTGTCTCCTTAGCAGCTCGGCCTTCACGGAGGCCAGTGCGTCTCTGTCTGCAGTAGCAAAGACCAAGTTGTCTACGTAACCAAGGATGTAGAACGGAGTCTGGCCAGAACGGACGAAGAGCGAGGGGTCTGCAGACGAGGGGAAGAACTGCAGGTCAGCAAGTGTAGCACGCAGCGTGTCGTGCCACTCACGGGGCGCCTGTCGCAAGCCGTAGACAGGGTGCCGGGGTAGCCACTCGGTGCCAGGGGGAAAGGTACCGGAGAAGCCCTGGGGGTGGCGCAGGTAGACCTGCTCGTGTAGACTGCCCTGGAGGAAAGTTGTGGAGAAGTCGAGGGAGTGCAGCTCGTAGTTACGTTGTGCTGCTACGTGTAGTAGTGCCCGAAGATTAGTCATCTTCGGGGTTGGGGCGAAGGTCGGAAAGAAGTCCACTCCCTCACGCTGACTGAAGCCTCGAGCAACGTAGCGCGCCTTGAAGTCAGGCGGCTCTCCAGGAGGGCACTTCACCTTGAAGAGCCATCTGCCATCGACTACGTTCACCCCGGGTGGGGGAACTGCATAAACGAAGGTACCGGTGGATCTCCAAGATGCCATCTCCTGCTCCATGGCAGCTATCCACTGAGAGGCCCAGGGTCCCGAGGTCGCCTCTGCGTAAGTTCGAGGGGTCGGGATGTCAAAGGCGTCTGGATTACCTTCAGGGACTAGTAGCATGGAACATAGATGGGGAGCAGCCTTAGACAGGAAAGCAAGCTCGTACTGCGTGCTCTCTAAAACGTCATTGCCAAGGGCAGGAGCACCCCCGACAGACAGAAGGCAGATAGGACCAGAAACAAGAGTTGTTGCGTAGTCAAGGCGGCGGGTAGATGCGAAGTCAACGACAGCAGCGACAAGAGTGTCAAGCCTCGAGACTGGAACAGACGGGTTAGTGACGAGGGAGGCAAGGACTCAAAAATCAAGAGGACGAGTAGCACGAAGGTAGTCAGACAGAGGGGGAGGCACGACAACGAGCAACGGCGAAGGAGGGGAATGCAAGATGGAAGGACGAGACGCGTGAGAATGAAGGAACATAGTGTGGGAACGCTGAGCAGGAGAGACAGGACGAGCAAGGGAGGGACGACGAGACCAGACGTGAGAGGGAGGCGTCGGGTCATGAGACAGAGGAGGAGTAAGAGGAGGGGAACGAGAAGGGAAACAAGCCGCGGACGAGTCCGGCGGAGGAAACACAGGACCGTGAACAGGAAGGGGAGGAGGCGGCGAGGGAGGTGCAGGCGAGTGGTGAAGGGAGGGAAGGCCAAGTAGGCAAAGTGCGGACACCGGCGGCGACTGCTGCTACTGCTGTACAACGCCGACGTCTGGACCTCCAGCAGCACCATGGCGACCTCCGGAACACTACACTCCA